TAGCAGCGCCAGAAGGGGGAGGAGCCCGCCGCGTGCCCGGAAGCGCTCGATTCCCCCCGCTGCCTTGATGTGGCGCGTGCGGAGAGCTAAGAGCGCACGGCCCAGGGGTGTCTCGTTGGTAGCTGTGTCCTTTGTCCCACCTAGACCCTCCCCGGCCGCCGCCGTGAGCTGCGCGAGGCAGAAAGAGAGCGAGTCCGTAGGGGTTGGTTTCGCAGCCGCCATCTTGGCTCGGGCCTAAGGCTCCGCCCCCGTCTAGCCTCTGATCTGAGGGAGCGGAACTGGAAGAGAGAGACGTAGCCAAGCACCTCCTCTCTGACGCTTTTTAAATAGCGCCACCGCAGTTATTAAGCAAGTCGGAAGTTGTAGTTCTCGATCCCGGTACTCTCTTGCACAGTCGCAGAAAGCACTTCGAGTGCAGGAGTTACCTAATGGTTGCGCGAGCCCAGGCGGCGCGTGCGGTGCATGCTGGGATATGTAGTCCACGCCACGCTTACACGCCCGGTCTTGCTGGTGGGTCTGGAGTTCCCAGGCAGGCGATCTTGGAGTCTCAGTATCGTGCTGCACCAGGTGATGTGGCTAGGCCGCCCCCAGGGTGTCCTCCTGCTGTCTGGAGCCTTCAGATCTGGTTAAGCATTACTGCAGATGGAGCTATTAAATACAATAGAACAACTACGTCATACCGAGGAAATGGGCGGAGGAAAGGGGAGTGAGTCATAACCTCCAGAAAGTGTAACATAAGGAATGCAATGTTTTCATCCGAACTTCAGAAAGTGCCAAAACGAATGCAATGTTTTTCACATTGACTTCAGAGAGTGCCAAAATTAATGCAGTGTTTTTCACCCTAACTTCAGAGAGTGCCAAAACGAATGCAATGTCTTTCATCCTAACTTCAGAGTGCCAAAATGAATGCAATGATTTTCACCCTAACTTCAGAGAGTGCCAAAAGGAAAGCAATGTTTTTCATCCAAACTCCTGAAAGTGTGCCATAATAAATGCTATGTTTTTCATCCTAAAACCAGAAGGTGCCATAATGTATGCTATGTTCTTCAATTTAACCTCCAAAATGTTTGCCATAATGAAGGCAATGTTTTTCAACCTAAACTCCAGAAAGTGCCATAATGAATGCTATGTTTTTCATGCTAACACCAGAAACTGTGCCATAATGTATGCTATATTTTTCTTTCTAACTCCAGAAAGTGCCATAATGAATGCTATGTTTTTCATGCTAACACCAGAAACTGTGCCATAATGTATGCTATGTTTTTCTTTCTAACTAAGTGACAAAATGAATGCATTGTTTTTCATCTAACTTCAGAGAGTGCCAAAATGAATGCAAAGTTTTTCATCCAAACTTCAGAGAGTGCCAGAACGAAAGTAATGTTTTTAATCCTAACATTAGAGTGCCAAAATGAATGCAATTTTTATCACCCTAACTTCAGAGAGTGCCAAAAGGAAAGCAATGTTTTTCATCCTAACTTCAGAGATTGCCAAAAGGAATGCAATGTCTTTCTTCCTAACTTCAGAGTGCCAAAATGAATGCAATGATTTTCACCCTAACTTCAGAGGGTGCCAAAATTAATGCATGATTTTCACCCTAGCTTCAGAGTGTGCCAAAACGAAAGCAATGTTTTTCATCCTAACCTCAGAGTGCCACGATGAATGCAATGATTTTCACCCTAACTTCAGAGGGTGCCAAAATTAATGCATGATTTTCACCCTAGCTTCAGAGTGTGCCAAAACGAAAGCAATGTTTTTCATCCTAACCTCAGAGTGCCACGATGAATGCAATGATTTTCCCCCTAACTTCAGAGGGTGCCAAAATGAATGCAATGTTTTTCACCCTAACTTTAGAGAGTGCCAAAAGGAAAGCAATGTTTTTCATCCTAACTTCAGAGAGTGCCAAAATGAGTGCAATGTGTTTCATCCTAACTTCAGAGAGTGCCAAAATGAGTGCAATGTGTTTCATCCTAACTTCAGAGAGTGCCAAAATGAGTGCAATGTGTTTCATCCTAACTTCAGAGAGTGCCAAAATGAGTGCAATGTGTTTCATCCTAACTTCAGAGAGTGCCAAAATGAGTGCAATGTGTTTCATCCTAACTTCAGAGAGTGCCAAAATGAGTGCAATGTGTTTCATCCTAACTTCAGAGAGTGCCAAAATGAGTGCAATGTGTTTCATCCTAACTTCAGAGAGTGCCAAAATGAGTGCAATGTGTTTCATCCTAACTTCAGAGAGTGCCAAAATGAGTGCAATGTGTTTCATCCTAACTTCAGAGAGTGCCAAAATGAGTGCAATGTGTTTCATCCTAACTTCAGAGAGTGCCAAAATGAGTGCAATGTGTTTCATCCTAACTTCAGAGAGTGCCAAAATGAGTGCAATGTGTTTCATCCTAACTTCAGAGAGTGCCAAAATGAGTGCAATGTGTTTCATCCTAACTTCAGAGAGTGCCAAAATGAGTGCAATGTGTTTCATCCTAACTTCAGAGAGTGCCAAAATGAGTGCAATGTGTTTCATCCTAACTTCAGAGAGTGCCAAAATGAGTGCAATGTGTTTCATCCTAACTTCAGAGAGTGCCAAAATGAGTGCAATGTGTTTCATCCTAACTTCAGAGAGTGCCAAAATGAGTGCAATGTGTTTCATCCTAACTTCAGAGAGTGCCAAAATGAGTGCAATGTGTTTCATCCTAACTTCAGAGAGTGCCAAAATGAGTGCAATGTGTTTCATCCTAACTTCAGAGAGTGCCAAAATGAGTGCAATGTGTTTCATCCTAACTTCAGAGAGTGCCAAAATGAGTGCAATGTGTTTCATCCTAACTTCAGAGAGTGCCAAAATGAGTGCAATGTGTTTCATCCTAACTTCAGAGAGTGCCAAAATGAGTGCAATGTGTTTCATCCTAACTTCAGAGAGTGCCAAAATGAGTGCAATGTGTTTCATCCTAACTTCAGAGAGTGCCAAAATGAGTGCAATGTGTTTCATCCTAACTTCAGAGAGTGCCAAAATGAGTGCAATGTGTTTCATCCTAACTTCAGAGAGTGCCAAAATGAGTGCAATGTGTTTCATCCTAACTTCAGAGAGTGCCAAAATGAGTGCAATGTGTTTCATCCTAACTTCAGAGAGTGCCAAAATGAGTGCAATGTGTTTCATCCTAACTTCAGAGAGTGCCAAAACGAAAGCAATGTTTTTGATCCTAACCTCAGAGTGTCAAAATGAATGCTATGGTTTTTATCCTAACTTTAGAGAGTGCCAAAATGAATGCAATGTTTTTCACCCTAACTTTAGAGAGTGCCAAAAGGAAAGCAATGTTTTGAATCCTGACATCAGAGTGCCAAAATGAATGCAATATTTTTCACCCTAACTCAGAGAGTGCCAAAATGAATGCAATGTTTTTCATACTGACTTTAGAGAGTGCCAAAAGGAAAGCAATGTTTTGAATCCTAACATCAGAGTGCCAAAATTAATGCAATGTGTTTCACCCTAAGTTGAGAGAGTGCCAAAAGGAAAGCAATGTTTTTCATCCTAACTTCAGAGAGTGCCAAAACGAAAGCAATGTTTTTTAGCCTAACTTCAGAGAGTGCCAAAACGAAAGCAATGTTTTTTAGCCTAACTTCAGAGAGTGCCAAAACGAAAGCAATGTTTTTTAGCCTAACTTCAGAGAGTGCCAAAACGAAAGCAATGTTTTTTAGCCTAACTTCAGAGAGTGCCAAAACGAAAGCAATGTTTTTTAGCCTAACTTCAGAGAGTGCCAAAACGAAAGCAATGTTTTTTAGCCTAACTTCAGAGAGTGCCAAAACGAAAGCAATGTTTTTTAGCCTAACTTCAGAGAGTGCCAAAACGAAAGCAATGTTTTTTAGCCTAACTTCAGAGAGTGCCAAAACGAAAGCAATGTTTTTTAGCCTAACTTCAGAGAGTGCCAAAACGAAAGCAATGTTTTTTAGCCTAACTTCAGAGAGTGCCAAAACGAAAGCAATGTTTTTTAGCCTAACTTCAGAGAGTGCCAAAACGAAAGCAATGTTTTTTAGCCTAACTTCAGAGAGTGCCAAAACGAAAGCAATGTTTTTTAGCCTAACTTCAGAGAGTGCCAAAACGAAAGCAATGTTTTTTAGCCTAACTTCAGAGAGTGCCAAAACGAAAGCAATGTTTTTTAGCCTAACTTCAGAGAGTGCCAAAACGAAAGCAATGTTTTTTAGCCTAACTTCAGAGAGTGCCAAAACGAAAGCAATGTTTTTTAGCCTAACTTCAGAGAGTGCCAAAACGAAAGCAATGTTTTTTAGCCTAACTTCAGAGAGTGCCAAAACGAAAGCAATGTTTTTTAGCCTAACTTCAGAGAGTGCCAAAACGAAAGCAATGTTTTTTAGCCTAACTTCAGAGAGTGCCAAAACGAAAGCAATGTTTTTTAGCCTAACTTCAGAGAGTGCCAAAACGAAAGCAATGTTTTTTAGCCTAACTTCAGAGAGTGCCAAAACGAAAGCAATGTTTTTTAGCCTAACTTCAGAGAGTGCCAAAACGAAAGCAATGTTTTTTAGCCTAACTTCAGAGAGTGCCAAAACGAAAGCAATGTTTTTTAGCCTAACTTCAGAGAGTGCCAAAACGAAAGCAATGTTTTTTAGCCTAACTTCAGAGAGTGCCAAAACGAAAGCAATGTTTTTTAGCCTAACTTCAGAGAGTGCCAAAACGAAAGCAATGTTTTTTAGCCTAACTTCAGAGAGTGCCAAAACGAAAGCAATGTTTTTTAGCCTAACTTCAGAGAGTGCCAAAACGAAAGCAATGTTTTTTAGCCTAACTTCAGAGAGTGCCAAAACGAAAGCAATGTTTTTTAGCCTAACTTCAGAGAGTGCCAAAACGAAAGCAATGTTTTTTAGCCTAACTTCAGAGAGTGCCAAAACGAAAGCAATGTTTTTTAGCCTAACTTCAGAGAGTGCCAAAACGAAAGCAATGTTTTTTAGCCTAACTTCAGAGAGTGCCAAAACGAAAGCAATGTTTTTTATCCTAACTTTAGACAGTGCCAAAAGGAATGCAATGTCTTTCTTCCTAACTTCAGAGTACCAAAATGAAAGCAATGATTTTCACCCTAACTTCAGAGGGTGCCAAAAGGAAAGCAATGTTTTTATTCCTAACCTCAGAGTGCCAAAATGAATGCAAAATTTTACACCCTAACTTCAGAGAGTGCCAAAACGAAAGCAATGTTTTTTATCCTAACTTTAGAGAGTGCCAAATGAATACAATGATTTTCACCCTAACTTCAGAGATTACCAAAATGTGTGCTATGTTTATCATCCTAACCTCAGAGAGAGCCATAACTAGTGCAAAGTTTTTCATTCTAAATTCAGATAATGCCATTATGAATGCTGTTATTCATCCTAACTCCAGGTGTGCCACTGTGAATGCTATGTTTTTCTTCCTAACTCCTTAAAATGTGCCATAAAATTGCTATGTTTTTCATCCTAAATCCAGAAGGTGCCATAATAAATGCTATGGTTTTTATCCTAACTCCCAGAAAGTGCCAAAATGAATATTGTTTTTTTCACCCTAACTTCAGAGAGTGCCAGGAGGAAAGCAATGTTTTTAATCCTAACCTCAGAGTGCCACAATGAATGCAATGATCTTCACCCTAACT